ATACTGTAAACTCAAGAACCTGCTAAGTTCACAGATCCCAGACCACAGAAACACAAAAAGGAGCCTTTGCAAAAAGCACACCTTTAGTTCGACAAATGGTGTGCCTCTTCCTTAGAGGATTGTAGAGGATAAGCACAAAATCCAACTCCACCAAATCACTGAAACACCAAATCACCACCAATGGTTCCATAAAAAAGGAATAAAGCAGATGCTTTCAAAAGAGGAAGCAAGCAAGGTAGTATCGGGTATGAAACACGATGTCTAAAGTTTTCATGCTCTAGGCATACCTAAATTTTCCCACATCTTTGGCATTCACACCTATAGCAGACTGATCAAAAAACATAACAGTTACAATTGTTAAAAAAAAAAAGTATTGAACAAACCACAAACCACAACTTGGTGATATTTCATGTCTGATAAACTCCATAGTTTGGCACTATGGAATTGAAGGAAGGTAAGACTCTAGTGAGCCCAGCTATAGTACCTATAATCATCACAGAAGCTTCCTGACTGATCAGTAATAAGCCAGTGTGCCTCAAAGCTGACCAAAAGGCTAAACTCCACAGTCTTATTTATTTAAACACGAGGTGTAGTAGTTCAGCACACTAAGTGTACCAAAGCTGCAAAGCTACTTGAATTACAGGGCCAAGGGGCAATTTTCTGCAGAAGTTATTTTTCCCATTCTAGTACAATTGAGCTCTAGTTTCTAGATGATACTCCAACACAAAGAAACAATACGAAGAAGGTTCAGTCACTTTCTGTCCTCTAACCTGCAATCCCAAATACTGCTGTGCAGCACAAATAGAACTAGCGGGGATAGCCATACTCTGCCTCAGAGAGCTTTCGGGCCTGCATTAGGTTATGATGATTGCAAACGCAGAAGGAACACATAAGAAAATAATTGGGACTTCTATTCCATACTTCTGCTTAAGCCAAAATGCTAGCTGTTAAATGCTGTTGTTTGATACTATCCAGCAGGAACTAGTCTTGAGCCATCTTTCTGACTCCCCTTTCTGTGGTTTCCATAAAAGCCAGTATAGAGCAGTAGCAAAACACAAATCCAAATTATTTCCGTAAGGCACATTGTTTGTATTCTTGATTAAGGATGGCAGCTGCAATGATTTTTAATACAGTTTTCAAGCACGCATTTAAGCGAAGAAGAATCATAAAATAACACTCTCTTCTTGAGAGGAGCACGCTTATCTGCTTTTAAAATAAATGTCAGATTACTTTTTGTATCTTTAGTTTCTAATGTATTCCTAGTCAGGATAAGCTCCGAGTATTTTGGACCTCACCTATTCCTGTATAATGTTAGAACAAAGCAGTTGCTTTATTCTCTAAAACCAGTGGCTTATTCAGTACATGCTAGAGCAGCCTCCAGCTTCAAAGGAAGGTGCATGAACCCCAAATATAAACAGATGTGGAATTAATCATCCACAAAAGAAAATCCCCCTCCAATCCGACCTATAATAGCTCTAAAAAGAAGCTCAAAAGCATCAGTTCACCATCCACTCCAAAGTTTGTTACAATTCAACTATTGCTACTGATATCAAACATTGTTTTATTTAACATTTCAGTTGAATACAACAATTAAAATATATTCCCAATCTCTGTACTGAATTATTAGCCTACACTTTAAAGAGAATGCTTAGAAGAGACACTTTGTAGCAAATTCCACTTGACAGCATCTGGCATTTTCTATGTAATGATGTTTTACCTGATAGTTACCAGTTGCAACAATTGGGGACCCATATCTCAGGGGTGCCTATGTGAACTCGTGGGGTGCTTGCTCACCAGCGCATGGGCTAGCAGACCGTAGGGAGCTCCACGGGTACACACAAAAGATAAAGCACCCACATGTCCATTAGGAGATGTGTGCAAATAGGGGAACCCACATCCACAGAAGAGGCTGTTTATGCTTGTAACCAACACCAGCTGTGAGAGAGGAAATGTGTGTAACTGTGAGCGTGTATGTATGCATGTTTGTGATTTTAACTTTTTAGAATTAGTTATAGAACTGCATTTAGAAATGTGTAGGTGTTCCTTAACATTTCTTAATCATCTAGTATTCTGGTTTATTTGTTGTATTGCTGATGTTGATCCTAAATATACAGTTCACTGATTTCTAGTTAACGATGTCTTTAATAAATCAGCAAACCGCTTCAGTCTTGATGTGTTTAAACCATGGGAATTAAGCAGGGTTTTTTTATGACACTCATAGACTAATGATTACCAAACTTCGTTTGAGGGTTCCAATGTGAATGGATTCACTGAGCTACAGAGTTCTCATTCTCTATAGCTTACTACCTTGACTATCCCTTTTCATATATCAAGTATCATGTTTCACAGCTCTGGGCTGGAATTAAGGAATTTTCAGTATGGGACATAACTATGAAATACATATTCCATTTCACTGAACTAAGCTGAATTTTATCAGATTTCTTCTCAACTTCCAAGTGAAACTGCTGCTTGTCAGTGGAGAAAGCTCTTCCAAATTTGAAGTCCATGGAAGTTGTGTGCATGCTTACATATTATTTGCATTTTTTAAAAATACAGAAAAGGTCTACAAATACATAGATTACTATCCATTTTCAAATAACAGTCACAGCCACTATGCACTACCCTCCCTGTGCATGTCTTTAGAAGTGCAAAATTCGTCAATACAGAACAGTGCAAAATATTTTAAAAACAGTGATCTCAACATACTGCACTAGACATACTCTATACCACCAATTTCCCTGTTCTGTTGGTTCTGAATCCAGACTGTCCAATTGCTTTATCAAATGAATACTACTCTTGATGCACTAGACAAGGCTTTTAGGACATCAGTAAACTGCAACTCCAAGAGGGAACTGTGGCTTCTGTTTTGGCTGGTTTCCCATGAAGAAGAAGAGATACACATATATAGATTAATACGAGGAGTCAAAACATCAAGCGTTACCTACTTTGCAGAGTTGAAAAACTAGCTTAATTAATATTTCTGCAACAGAGGGGCCAAAAGCCAGACCACCAGATTCAAACTCTTCAACTTGGTGGTTCAAGGCCAACTTTACTGTGAACAACTACTGAAAATTTGTCTTTTATGCATTAAAAATATCATAGAATCATTAAGGTTGGAAAATACCTCTAAGATCATCGAGTCCAACCGTCAACCCAACACCACCATGCCCACTAAACCATGTCCCTAAGCGCCTCATCTACACGTCTTTTAAATACTTCCAGGGATGGTGACTCCACCACTTCCCTGGGCAGCCTGTTCCAATGTTTAACCACTCTTTCAGTAAAGAACTTTTTCCTCACGTCCAATCTAAACCTCCCCTGGCGCAACTTGAGGCCATTTCCTCTCGTCCTATTGCTAGTTACTTGGGAGAAGAGACCGACACCCACCTCACTACAACCTCCTTTCAGCTAGTTGTAGAGCGTGATGAGGTCTCCCCTGAGCCTCCTTTTCTTCAGGCTAAACAAACCCAGTTCCCTCAGCCGCTCCTCATAAGACTTTTCTCCAGACCCTTCACCAGCTTTGTTGCCCTTCTCTGGACACGCTCTAACACCTCAACATCCTTCTTGTAGTGAGGGTCCCAAAACTGAACACAGTATTCAAGGTGTGGCCTCACCAGTGCCGAGTACAAGGGGATGATCACTTCCCTAGTCCTGCTTGACCACACTATTTCTGATACAGGCCAGGATGCCATTGGCCTTCTTGGCCACCTGGGCACGCTGCTGGCTCATGTTCAGCTGACTGTCAACCAGCACCCCCAGGTCCTTTTCCGCCAGGCAGCTTTCCAGCTACTCTTCCCCAAGCCTGTAGCATTGCAAATATCTTTTAGCTATTGCAAAGCTTTGAAAAAGCATTAAAATTTCTGCTAAGGCAGGAATTCAGGAAGAGCTGGCCTGAGGATATGGACTCAAAAATCTAATACTGTAAATCCAAATTAAACATTTCCTCTGCCTTTTGCTTTCAAAACTGGCACCAAATTCTCATTCCTGTCTCTCATATGGTCCCAAACAGCCAGCCATAGACCTGTGCTCTGTGGAGAATGCCAACAAACCAGCAGTTGACAAGTTCAAACAAAAGCAGCTACCTTTCCAAGAACATTAGGTTACAATAGGCACAAGGCAGCTATAGCAGATGATAAACACCGAACCAGAAGCTACAGACACATTTACATAAAAGTAACACACATTGACAAAGCCAGAAGAAAATCCATTCATCTAGAAAACTTTTCTGAAGTTGAGAAAGTGATAGGTAGCTTTTACTCATTAGGAAACCACCATTCGCTTGCAGTGACAGACTTGGTGAAGAGGAGTGTTCTGGCAGGACCTGCTGTTTCTCTTCCTTTACATCCAATGGATCTCTTTTAAGGTCTGTCTGAAGATCTGCTCCTCACCTCGTAAGCCTCAGTCTTTTCCAATATAGTCAAATGTTTATTCCTCATCTATCCCGATATGAATGTCTCACATTCAGAAGCTAGAGCTCTCCTGCGTTTACTGCCACTACCAGGTGTACAAGATACGTTGGAGATTGATAATATTGATAGTTAAGGTAAAGGAAATGTAGCGAGGAAAAGGATAGGAGAATCATCCAATTTGTATTTGTCCCTTCAACAGACAATGCCACCATATTCCAAATTGGCAGTTTAAAAATGAAGAGTTTTAGAACTAGTTATAAACTTGTTTGTTATCTCCAGCAAAAGACCAACCAAACCAAACCAAACCAACCCACAGAAAAGGTAACTTTTTTGGTAGTTCATTTTTACTATCTTTTGTCTCACCAAGGACAAAATAAGGTCTTTTACCAACTTCTTATACTCCTATATCTGCATTACTCTAGTAATCAGCACAAGAAGTGGTAATATCCTCAGCTTTCTATGATTGCTTACCATCCCCTGCAGTTCTCTAAGTATGCAGATTTCAGTTATTATAAAAATAATTGAAATATTAAAATACTTGAACCAATGCTGTTTGCAAACAAAATGGAAAAGCTATAAATAACTACTCACCAGATTCTCTTCAAACCACTCCCGTATACACACTGCTGTGGCCCCCGGAATTTGATTTCGCAACGCTTCTTTCTCTTGAGGATCCTCTAGCATTTCCAATGCCATCTTTAGATCTTCCAGGAGATGCAAAATTTGAAATGTGCCCAAGTATACTGATGGAGCAGGCGATACAATATCATAACCACCATTAGCATACTCTGTCGCTGACTTTGTACCTAAAACAAGTAAAACCAGAAGAGACAATAATGTTATATAATTCTTTTGTAAGTGACAAAGTAACTGACAAATATGAGTATTTCAGGCTTAGAAATACTTGAGTTAGCCTCTAGATAAATAACGAACACTGAAGAATTAGATGTGAGAGGTATGTACAAGCATATTAAAAAAGAATTTTGAACTAGAAAATATTTGCAATGTCTGTTGAATTACAAACACCAAAACCTTACCACAAATCACCTGTAATTTTCCATAGTTACCATGAGATGTCACTAACTTCTTAGCTACATAGAACTCCCCACACAGAGCAGTGTTAAGCAACGTAAGAAAGATTGATGCAGTCCTTTGACAAGAAAGTTAGATGAAAATAGATCATGTTACCAGAACTAGAAAAATATGTGACCTTGAGCAGGTTTAAAACCCTCCCACAGAGAACAAAACCCAAAAAGTTAGCAATAAAAATGGCTAATGAAACTTCCCTAGCTCTCTAAATTACAAAAAGCTCTCTAAGTTACACCACCTCCCTCCTGCCAGCCCTCCAGCACCAGTATTATTTTCTCAAGAACAGTAAGGACAGCAACAAACATATCTCACTTGATGGAAGAATTATAAATAATACAAATTCTAATATCTCCAAATCTTTTTGTCTTAATACCCTGTGTTTCAATGAGATGCACACTAAAATGAGCTATCTTTTCTCAGTCCTGAATTTCAGACCTTGATTTCATTCAATATCCCTTTGTTTCTTTAAGAACTAGTCAGATGGAAAACTTCTATTTGCTCTACTTTTTACAGTTTTTATTTACAATTCGTTGCCTCATGTACATAACAGATTGTACTCATGTCTTCATTCCTGTTCTCTCTGGCATAAGCAATCACATTTTCCCTCTATTTGACTTCATGGGAGATTTTGTTTTTAGGCTTTTGATCATTCATATTGTACTCTCAATCCTTTTGTTTTGTACCATACTTCACAGATGTATGTTGGATCCACATAGCATACAGTATTCCTTAGAAGACTGTATCATTGATCTACACAAGGGGATTATAAATAATTGCCATACTATTCTTCGTTTTATTCCTGTGTTCAACACCATTTACATCTTAGTTATGAAAGGAACAGAAATCTTCACTGGGCCTTTGAAAACTATTTGCTAAGTTTTTTTCCTGAGCAGATGTATCTAATTTGAAACCCAGATGTGTAAGTAATTCAAATTTTCTTCTTGAATGCATGCTACTTTGCATTAATCAATGTTAGTTTGCCTGCTATGGTTATTTATCTACCATGATTCGGACATTACAAACTATGTTTGAACCCAATGGTTCATTTTACATATAGCCAGACATACAACTAATACCTAAGTACAACTCATGAATACACTGACAGACTAGGTCCTAGTATGCTGAAATGCCTTCTGCACCTAGATTAGCTTTTAACCAAAACGCTAACTGATGATTTAATCCTAATATTGTTTCCCATCTCAATCAGTTTTTGATCCAAGACAATATTTTGTCTCTCATTTTGTGAATGCTTAACTTTACTCAAAGCTTTTGGGAAAATTCTAAATAGTATTACCCAGGTTTTCTTCAACCACTGCTTTAATGACACAAAGAATTCTGTCAGATCAATTATCTTTGCAAAAAATTGTATGGTTTGAATTCTACAGTACGATGTAAGTTTTTTTTGTTTGGCTGTTTTAAACAATGCAAAACCATCCCTAGAAATTTCTAAAGTTTTGCAAGGCTCAGTAGTAGGGATTTTAATTTTTTTAAAGCAACACTTGTTTTAATTACTGGAGTCATGTAGTCAAATTCAGAATATTCCCTGTTTGGTCCTGTTGACTTCCGATGCTTATGAGTTTATTTTCATACCTCAAGTGTGAGATCTCATTTTAATTTCTGGCTAAGACCATGTCCAAGATAAAGTTTCTTCAATATCCGGTGCTACAAAGACTACTACACAAGACAACTTCGCCTCACAAATCAACCTTGTCTTCCTGAATTATTTCCTTTTGAGGAAAGGATCAACTGTTTTGCTGGATTTGAGTATTCTAACCACTAAAAGATATTTTCTTGTATATTTCTATACTCTCAGCTACTTATGCCAGCTTAGTGGTTTCTGCTTGTGTACTTCCTAACGCAGATTAATATTAAACTCTAGCAACTAAAAATAGCAGATTTCCAAATTGTGTAAGAGCCATTTGGATCATATAACCTCTTAAATCTTTTCATTCAGCCAGAGTGGCTCACTACTTACTTTCCAAAAGAGATACGCACACAAACTGAAATCTGGCACTGTCATCTTAAGTAGCATTCATGCCACCTTTAAAGGTGTGGCTTCCTTGGTTATTGTGACATTAGTCGTAATCGAAGGTGAGTCTTGAGGACAGTCCTGTCCTGTGTAGGACATTTGGAAGGTGGTAATGTAATTTTACTGGGAAAGAACATCAGCTTGACGTCTAGTGATTGAGACAAAGTCGATTTAAGAATTTTTAGCATTTTTTTCTTACTGTTCCCTTTCCTGCCTCAAGTTTTCCTCCATTTAAGTTTGCATGAAATAAGAAATAAATTAAAAAAGCCACAAAGAAATATTTTTCTATTCATTGCTAACAAAAAGAGAGGCGACAAATGAAAATCGTCAAAGACATCCTTACGGCAAACTCACGTTCCCTGAACTACCTAACAACACACAAAAGCTGGTATATCTTATGACTTACCCCATACTTATGACTGGGAATTCATTTTGAGCATAAATAGTACAGGATTTTAAACTGCAGAAGACAATAAAGATACTTCAAAATTTTCTTAGCTAATAGTAGTAAACAGACAGCACAGTATTTGTTTGCTTACATGAATAAAGATGTAATGATCTTACAAGTGAACTGTCTGGAAATTCTTATATGCACTAGTTCCATTAAACCTTGAAAGGAAAAACATCACTTTGATTAATACAAACTTAAGTTAAATGAAGGAAATAGAGATTGAAAGGTTCGATTTCATTCATAATTTTAAATCTTTCAACTGAGGTTATTATCCATGAAAGAAATTATTAAAAAAAAAAAGTATCAGTACTATTCAAGATTTGTATTTAGACTTCAAAAAGCAGGCACTGGTGAGAGAAGAATGTACCTATGTCCGATACCATCAGAAAGACAAACAAACAAAACCCCAAACCATACATGTACCCTTATCATGCTGAGAATACAGGGCATAATTCTGAGATGTGCTGAAGATTCCAGCTCTCAGCAATCAAAATTCCACTAGTTTCAAGTCACTGGGATCACAAATATTAAGCAAGGACTTAAAAGTGCTTTGCTTTGCTGGATAGGGGCCAGAGTACTCAACAAAAATTACAAAGCCCTCCCATGAGTAACTCTCTCTATCTGGAACAGGAGTTACCCACAGATCTCAGTGCATCACTAGAAGAATATGACCCTTCACACCTCTCCATCAAATAATACACACATACACTCCTCCTTTGTGAAATTATTTTAAAACTGGTTTGCTATGGGTTGCTACTGTAGTACCTTCTATTCTCCTGGCTGAAATGGAAAATGAAGAATTCCTCTGAACACAACAACTAATGCATTTTATACTAGGTAAAGAAATGCAGAAATGCGGAGTTCAACTCAGCATTTTCATTCAGAAAGCTGCCTGTTTTACTGCTTAAATTCAGTTGAATCACAGGCTTGCTTCTCTTGTTTGCTTTCCATGTAGTTTCATATTAAGTAGGATATATATTGCTCATCAGAAGGACAAGAACACACCCTGAAAAACAGAAGTAAAAGTGTGTAGGAGTAAATAATTATATTTCTTTGCATTAGTTTAAACCTTTACATCATCATGCTGCAAAGCACATTAAGTTTCAGCACCAGACAGTAAGAATTTGGATCTCCTTGCAGATAGATTAAAAAAAAAAAAAAAGATGCCACAGTGCAAACAGAACACTACGTGTTACCAGTATACTCTACCATTAACAGCAATTAATTTGTGTGTAGCTTTATTATAGGTAGCTGAAGTGGGGAAGAACGTGGTTCAAGCACAAGAATTTTATAGATACTCAGGAAAAATGAATGCAGTTTTGAACTCTTGCAAAAAGACTCATTTTGCACAGCCTTCAGCAAATGACAGTCTTCCTGTGCCTCGTTTTTTCCAGGGGTAAACAAGACAGAGGGGAATCTTTTGTCATTATGTTTATATAATACTCAACACCATGGTTTCCTAGTGTACTACTGGAACACAATTAATCATCATTAATGTCCACCTTAGAGGAGTAGGAAAGAAAGGGGAAAAAAAAAAGTATTGGAACTAAGACACTCCAAGCAGCTCAATTCTGGCTTCCACATACAGACAGTGGATGAAGGAGGTTAAACGTTGCTGCACAGTATATGTATGGTAGAAAGAGTAACAAAAGCAATAAAAAAACGAAAACAACTTTTAAGTTACACATTTCCTACACCCTGACCATGCAAGCACATTTTTAGTTCAAAGTTCCTTGCAATTAGCTGAATGGCTTCAAAGAAACGTTCCTTTTGGGCAAATACATAACCTATTCAGAAAACAGCACTACTGGTGGCTTGCAAAAATAAGTTACTAAGCAGAAATAAAGAAAGAAGCAGAGAGCCTTGCCAGTTTGAAAATCCACTCTCCTCAGCTTATATTGTATACACTCATCCATCACCCAACTTTCACCACTCTTAGCAGTAGATACTGTTCCTGATCTCTCACTTTTCCTTACATCTTAACTTCCAATCCCCTGCATTCATCCTTATTATCTCAGTCTTTCTGCTCTAAAACTGGCTGAGTTTTAGAAAAAAATTCCTAGTAATACACAAGTCAACCATCAGTGGTTAAAAAGAGATTTTCCTAAAACTGCTGACTCCTTTAGTCCAAAAAACAGCAAAAAACAACAAAAGCCCCACAACAAAACCCAAAAGCTACTTCTACGCTGGAGTAAGGATGACTTCCTATAAAGCTGAAATAGTCAAGGATAACAGTT